GGAAAAATTCACACCTTTACCCCCTTAAGTGTACGAATGGAATGTCGCTCACCTGCAGGTGAGCGACATTCACACACTTGCATTTCCAGTGTATGACTCTAAGGTAGAGTTCGATGACTCTGACGATACTAACCTGTTGCACCTTTTCTACCATGATACGGACAAAGAATGTGCCATTGATCACAGTTCAATCAGTAACAACTGGATCTACTGGAGCCTTACAGAAGGTTAATATTGTGTTAACAACAATGGGAAATTTAATTTCTACTTCCTTTGTTTTCTAATTATCATTATTTTTATTATTGTATGTTTGTTATTGTTACCATTTCCTTTTGTCTAGTACAAATTAAATAATTGCCTGTTTATTTGCGTTCGTCTCTTTTTTATTTCGACCCATTTGGTAGCAAAAATATTCCCACTGCCCCCTCCACAACACACTGCTCTTCATTTCAACTACAACAGAGTAAATCGCTAACTATACCCTATACCTAAGATTTTGAAGAAAAAAAAAGAATGAACAACACATTTTTTAAAATAATATACTCGTGTCGGCAGAGGGGCGGCCCAGCGAGAAGAACACACAATAAGGGGCATGCGTGACTCTTTCGATCATTGGAGTAACTGGCTTCGATATCGCTCAACAACCAGCAGTGCTGTGGCGGGATCAATATTATATTCCTATAGTCGAGCTATACCCTACTAGGGGCGCCGCCTCGGAGGGGGGCCTGGCGGGGCGCCAGGGGTCGCACCACTCGGAGCCCGCGTCCTTCTTCGCCTCCCTTCTCCCTCTCTTCTTCCACGCACCTCCCTCCCCTCGTCGCCCGGCCTCCCCCGCCCGAGTGCGGCTCCGTGGGTACGTCGGTACCCCCGGAGCGGAGGGCGGAGGATCCCGAGAGAGTGCTTCCGGCCGGAGGTCGCTTGTCTTCCGGTATTGACTTCCGGTCGCGCGCTCCGCTCCCAGACCATCCTGCTGGACGTCCCCGAGTGCTTCCAACCTGCCATCCCGTCGGCCCAATTGTTTAAGAATACTTGCTACTTGTCATCCCTGGCCTACCCCTACACCAGCACAGCCTGCGGCGGCACCCCTTCCCGATCCCTCCCTCGGCTGGATGCTGCGTTGGCTGGACCGGCCTCCGGGCCGGAGCCGCAGCAGCAGCAGACTGAAACTGAAGCGTCGTCACTTCCTGCAGTCAGCACAAAACGCCAAACCCCCGCCCCCGCCTGCCTGCTTGCCAGCCTGCGTGGCGCGGCTGGGGTAGCGCGCCCAGCCCACCGGCCCCACCACCCCGTGCAGTGGCGTATTCAGGCTGGTGATGCGAGGCACAAAGTTTTCCTCGCGTGGTAATCCGACCTGACTGTCAGGGGTTGGCTTTCACCTCGCGAACTCGCTCAGTGTGTCCTAGGGGTTGGAAAAACCAGTGCATCTTTTAATAAGCGTCTGTCTCAGAGCAGTCCCCGAAGTGTTGCGGGATTACGCACCCTCTTGGGCTGCATTGGTCGTGTGGTGCCTTTCGGGCGTTACTGAAATGAGCGGGACTAAGTTGTGTACAAAATTCCACCCTCGCAAACTACGAAATTGTCTGAATAACTATGAATAACTACGAAATTGTCATTGAATGCTGTAAGCAATGAATGCCGCGGCACAAAAGAACATGTTAACACACAATGGACATATTGGTGTGTGG